AATATATGGTAACAATTTTAGCGTGTCCTCATATAAACTTGATTTTCTTTAGCATATGGGAGCTCAGCTATGAAAGAGTCTCTAGTGTGGCCATTGGAGTTTACTATCTATTGTAGCTAGAAAAAATTTGTCAACAAAGTTTAGTTCACTGTCCTTAATTTTCAGGTTACCAATATCTCGCTTTACGCTAGTAGTTGTAAATCTAATAATTTGTTTTATTCTCATTAAGCAATAAGTTATTTACATTAAACCAGTTAACTATAGAGAGATAGAATTGTTTACATCGTCCAATAATACTTATTCCTATACTTTAAATAGAAGTGAAGTTCATCAGCAAACAATACCATCTCATGAACTTTTAAAAAATGGGAGGTCATTTAGTAAAAAAAAAAAGAAATCATCCTTGGGGACGCATTATACCTGCCGAAACCGGAGAGGTGACTCCATTGACATGAACTCTTTGGATCCTTCCCTTTAAATATGAATTCATAGGCTGGAAGCTTTGCCATCAACGCCATAGTGTTGAAGCTTTCCAACGAGTATATCAGGATGAACACAGTCAAAGGCCTTTGACAGGTCACAAAAGAGCCGACTCCATCATATGATTTTAGGCGTTAAATATGTCCGAAATCAACTTCAACCGGCATCGATTGTGAGCGACCTTAGTGAAACCATACTGTTTATTATGTAAGAGTTTATTTTTATTAAAATGTAAAGAAAGCTGGTCTAGATTATCTTTTAAAACTTTCTAAAGAGTTAGACTAGCTTATGTAAGCATTATGTTTGTATTTCGTTGTTAAATTCAAAAGAGAACTACCTATTAGTTAAATAATATATAGAATTGAATATTAGAGACATACGTTATTTTTTTCAAAATAATTTAAATAGTTTGTATTATATATATATATACTTTATAATACTATGTACTGTTTTGTCTAATATAATTAAAGTAAATAATTAAGAATTACTCATTGTTTTATTTAAAACCAAATAATAAGTGTAAAACCTACATATACTATAATTAAATTAAAGTCAAAAAATATTTTTAAAAATTAATTTACCAATGTAAATAAAATTAAAAAATAATTTTTGTATACACTATACAGTAGGTATGTATAAAAAAAGCTTCAAAGGTTGTTTTATTCTCAATCTATGAGTCCGATGTAATAATATAATCTTAATCTTCGAGGAAAGACATGACATGGTCTTAGTAATGTAGTAGTGATTTCATAGGATAAGTAATTTTCATCACTTTTATTTTAAAAACATTATTTTCACCAATAATCCATTATACCTATTGTGTTTTAATAAACTCGTAATCAGCTGGGAATTGTTTTCAAACGACAGTTTATATCTATTGTCAAATGTATAAAGATGTGTGGTACGAACAGTCATAAGGGAATCATAAGCTCTCATTGCGAGCCTACTGACCTATGTTAAGGAATTATAGTTGATAATTGATCGCGAATTAATTGAGGGTCTTGATTCTTGAATTGAAGAATTGCAATAATAAGACGTGCAAATCGTATGACACTTTTTATTTAACTGACCAAGAGTAGTGGACTGTACACATATTTGGACATTCCGCCCACCAATGGACGCAGTCCTTTAAATAAATAACATGAAAGAAAAAATAAACACTTAACAAAATTACAAACTATAGTTCAATACAATTGTTTCATGAAAGACACAATAGTATGCATCAGACATTATTTTTCATCATATTTAAATGGCTTATTGTACATAGAAATACGATTAACCGCCCACCGTAATATGTCTGCATACATAGTAGGATATATCATTACACAACAATTCACATGTTATAGTCTATTAATATAGTGTAGTATAAGTACACGGGTATCTAACACAGTATTTAATAATTTTTAAAAACATATAGGTAAGTTTTACATAGCTTGTATATTTTGTTTATTACATATTTCCAAATAAGGTTTTTGTTAACAAAAAGTAAGTTGATATATAAATTGACTTTTCTCACTTATAAATGACTAATGAACATATTTTATAATTATGAAGTAACAATTAAAAATAAACTAATTATTTAGTTAAAATGCATATTTTTGATACAGGTCTTTTTAGCGTTCCGCTTCTACATTTGATCGATACTACCCGGGTCACATTGTCGGGACCGATATGCTTTTTAACTATTCTACCCATAATCCAGTTACCACAAAATACCGACTACATCATCAATTTCCGGTTCTGAGTTATTTTTAACATTCCATTTGTACCTATTGATTAGAATTACAAGATATTCCTTAGACCATCGGTTCCAGAAGTTTTTTGTGTTAACCGCCAACGATCGCGATAACTAATGTCTACATAAGCATGACTTTTGTCAGCTACATTTAGCACAGGTTCGCCGATCAAAAAATGTCCAGGCGTCAGTGGGAGAGGATCATTAGGGTTGTCACTTAATACAGGCAGAGGTCGTGAGTTAAGGCAGGATTCTATTTGAGTCAGCATAGTTGTGAGTTCTTCGTAAGTTAGAGTGGTATCGCTGATAACCTTTTTAAGGTGTGTTTTTGTGCTACGTACGCCAGCCTCCCACAAACCTCCAAAATTAGGAGGTATAAATTCCATGTAGTACGCTCTAGTGTTAACATTTTTGCTATTTCACTAGGCACTGAAGATTTGGCACTGTTAAACATTGTTGTTAATTGTTTTTCTGCTCCTACAAAGTTTGTGCCATTGTCACTATAGATATCTTGACAGTGGCCTCGTCTTGCTGTAAACCTTCTAAAAGCAGCGATGAATGCCTTCGAAGTCATGTCTGTGACAGTCTCCAAGTGTATAGCGCGTGTGGCCATGCAAATATACCCTTTAAAGGACTTTTCTGCTCTACCTGGGGAGAATTTGATGTTAATAGGTCCAGCATAGTCCACACCGACCGACTTAAATGGTCTATCGGGAGTTACACGCACCTCTGGTAACTGACTCATTAACTGTGATGATTTACGTTTCGAAAATCTAATGCAAGTCACACACTCACGGTAACATTTCTTTGTTTGATCTTTAGCTCGTAGAATCCAGTATTTTGTTCACAAATTATTTATCATCAGTTGTGGTCCTCCATGCATTGTTTTCTGCTGAGCATCCATAATTATAAGTTTGCTAAGATAGTTTTTAGTAGGTAAAATTATAGGATGCTGTGTACTCCTCGTGTGACTGTTGTATTCTTCCGCTGGCTCTTAGAATCCCATTTTCATCGAAAATGGGCGTAAGACTGCGCAGTTTACTCTTTTTAGAAACATATCCCATAGAACTTGTTTATTGCACCAATAATCCTTGTTTATTGCAAATATCTAAGGATTCATTAATTTCTTTTGTTGAAATATAATTAGTATGACACCAACGCTCATCTTTAGTTGATTTTAAATTTAGTCATCTTCTATCAGTATGAAATAACTCTCAATAATTTATATAAATTAGAAAACTTAGACCATATAGATTCTTCTTCGGACGTATATAAAGCTTGTGTATCTTCTCTTCTTCTTGTGTATCTTCGATGTCAACCATACTCAAATTTACGTCTAATCAAGCCAGGCGGGTCCATTCCACTATAGTGAGTGATCTGATATAGCTAAAGCTTGTAGACCTCTTGACGTACAGTCGGCCGGGTTCATCTCAGAAGCAACGTGTCCCCATTGTTCGTAATTTAAAATATTTAGTATATCAGATACACGATTACTAACGAACGTGTTCCAGTGACTTGGTCTTCCCCTTAGCCATGTCAGGACTATGGTTGAATCAGTCCATGAATGTAAGTATTCGTTAGATATGTTTAACACTTGTGATATTTCAGAAATTAGCTTGGCTGCCAACACTGCACCACATAATTCCAGTCAAGGTATTGAAATCTGCTTCGTAATAGGTGCAACCTTAGTTTTGGCTGATATTAAATTGACATAAACCTTATCCCCTTCAATGACTCGCATGTATACTGCTGCACCATATGCTGTCTGTGTAGCATCTGCGAAGACATGTAACTCTGCTTTAGATGTGGAAGAATAACGTAGCCACCTCGGTATATTAATGCATTTAATATGTATCAAATTTTCTCTAAATTGTAACCATTCCTTCAATAAATCTCCTGTTATAGTGCTGTCCCAATCTAATCCAGTTAGTCATAACTTCTGGATTATAAACTTTGCTATAACAACAACAGGAGCTATCCATCCCAAAGGGTCATATAGTTTTGCTACTTCTGAGAGAATCTACCGTTTAGTGATAGGTTCTGTTACTATAGACACATTTAGAGTATATTCGAATTTGTCTAGGTCTCTGTTCCAACTCACTCCTAATACCTTAACTAGGTTATTCACCTTCAGAGGCAGTTCATGATCATCTCGTTTATTCTCACCAATATATTTTAGCATATTTTTACTATTACTGCTCCACTTTTGGAGCTCAAATCCTCCTAAATGCATTAATTTACTCATGTCATTATAGATATTAATAGAATCAGCAACTGTTTCACGTGACGTCATTAAATCATCGACGTAATAATCATATTTAGTTATATGAGCAGCAACAGGGAACTTCGATTGTTCATCATCAGCTAATCTCTGGAGTGACTTCACAGCGAGTGAAGTCAAAAATGTCGAAATGTTAATCTCAAAAGCTTGTAATGTTGTATTGGCTCACTCCATAGAACTCTTTGGTAATTTGTATCATCTTCTGACACCCTCACCTTTCTATACATTTTAATTACATCTGCAGTAAGGCAAATTTTATAAAGCCTCCATCTCATCAGTATGTGGCGCAAATCTTGCTGCAACTTAGGACCAATATATAAATCATCATTGAAAGATACGTTATTGACTCCTTTACATGAAGCATCAAAAACTATACGAAGTTTCGTCGTCTCCTTATCTTCTCGAAGAACCGCGTGGTGCTGGAGATAGACTGCAGTTGAACTATCAATTTCTGTGTGGCTAATTTCAACCATATGATTTAAATTTAAATATTCGTTTATGACCTTATGGTATTCTTCTTTTAGTTTCTGGTTTCGTGATAAATTTTTTTTCTAATATTTCAAACCTCTTAGCAGCAATTTCTTTAAGATTTCCTTGCCTAAACTGTGGATTTCCAGTCATAAATGATAGTTTAACCACGCATCTTCCTTCTTCATCTCTTATAGTTGTACTTTCATAAAAAATTTCACAATATTCCTCTTCTTTTGATAGTCTCTTTTCTATTGTATTTGGTTCGTTCTCGATTTCCAAAAATTTCTGGAGCATCTCGTCTTCCTTATGTTGAACATGCAAACTTGCAACATTTGTGTCCGAAGAACCCGTTTCATTGAGGCAGCTTTCCTGATAGCACCCAACCTGGGCATGTTCTCTGTGCTAGTAAGTTGACCCTAGGATGTTTGATTATACCATGTAAAAGAATGTTACTGTATACGTCTGCTCCCAAAAGAATGTCAATTCTTCCAGGTGTTTTGAAGGCTGACTCAGCCAACTCTAAAGTTTCTAGGTCCGACCATTTAGGAGCACTAAGTTTGGTAGTAGGCAGAAGTGTTGTTACTGAACGCAATACATATGCATTCACTCGTATTATTGTCTTAGGATCGTGGCGAGATTTCACGCTAAGTGAAAACATGTATTTGATTCTCATTTGCCCCTTTCCCACACCTGACACCCAACCACTTACAGATCGGCGCGTAAGATTAAGTAATTGTACTGTAGCTTCAGTTATAAACGATGCTTGCGACCCTTGGTCTAAGAATGCTCTAATAATATGTTTGCAACCATTCCTACTCTCTACTAATACCTCGGCAGTAGCTAATAGGACACTATTTTGACAATTTTCCTTGGAAAAGTTAGTTACAAAGTGTACATCGTTTGCTATAGAATTAAGCTTACCTTTACTTTGCTCAGTCATAGTACCTGTCGACGTGGATTCTCCTTCACTCGTAGTCACCGATCGATCGATCGATCGTAGTGTAGCAATGAATATGACGACGCCCACATCTTCTGCAACTCGTTGGCTGACGACATCTGATTACTGAATGTGACGGGGTACGACAATTAAAACATAATTTATTCTGCTGGACGAACTCTTGCTTTTCTTTTGTAGACATGTCTACGAACTCTTTACAATAATAGATGTAGTGTTCACCACTGCATAACACACATTTGACTTCCAGTTTTTTCACATCCTAGTGTATACCTGAATGAAAGGACTTACGTTTGGCAATAGGTGTAGCAACAAGCTTAGGGTATGGTAATTTTACTCTGTGACTGTCTATCATTTTTAACGATCAAAATCTAGCTTCTAGAAAATCCCGCAGTTCTGTCCACGTAGGTAATTTGGTATTACTCAAACTTAGATGTTATTCCCATCTCTTTATTGATTCATGGTCCATCTTTGATATTACTAAATAGTTAATAATCATAATATCCCAAGTGTCGGTTTTCACACCGAGATTTTGCAATGTTTTTAAGCATACCGACGTAGTGTCTACCAATTGTTTGATTGAACTCAATGTCTCCGTATATATAACCTTCTGTGTAAATAATGTTCTTAAAATTGCATAGCAATTTAAACGTTTTTTATTATAGCGTTTCACTAACTGGTTCCACGCCATTTTTCTTTCACAAGTACTTAGGAATAGCAAAATCTTCTTGTGTGGCTTGAAAATTTTATTATTAGAAGCTCGTTTTAGGATCCGGCTAATTCTATCTGTAACTCCCTTTACATATGGCAGGTAGGCTGGCTGGCGGGAAACTGTTTGTGTCTTGTTTTTGTTTCTGTTGATGCAGCCGGGGGATGCGCAGCTTGTTTCGGTGTAGCACCTGTTTGACATATTGTTGTAGTTACTCCTCGAGGTGGGCAGCATCACAAAGACGTTGGGCTCACTGAAACAAACATTTGCCGACAGAAAGCAGTGTGAAGGGTGGTGGTGGGATTCACCATTGAGGTACCTTTCCGTGTATTATGTGACCAAGTGTGCCATCTGCTTTGCGTATAATTAAAATGTCTAAAAAGGGCAGACAATTGTTGTTCTCTTGTTCAACAGTAAATTTAATGTTATTGTGTATTAAATTTAAATGTGCTAGAAATGCAGATATTTTGTCATTACTAGAAACGTGTCATCGACATATCTCTTGTACAGTAACCGGGGCATTAGCCAGAGCTCTCTTCTCAAAGTCCTACATGAAGATGTCAGCGACTATAGGTGACACCGGAGAACCCATGGCTACTCCATCAACTTGCACATAGAACTCATCTTTCCACATTAAGTATCCTGAGGTGAGACAGTGTTTTACAATATCTACATAATTTGAACTAACATATGTTCTAAGTGCGTGGTCATGACCTAAGAATAATATAACTTCATCGTCAAACAGTTTTTCTTTAAAGTGCAAGTTATGTAAATCAAAGACAATACTAGAGACAGTGATTTAAAATCTACATAATCGAAACTGTGTTCCAAGTTTTTGCAATTATATCTAGGCAGTCATTTAGAGGTAAGTTTGTAAAATAATAGTGACTCAATGTCAAACTCACCATTGTTTCATTGTGGAGTAATTTGAGATCTCTCAATGTTTCCACAAAGCGGTAAGAGTCCTTCACATAAGCACTAGTGTGCCCCCGGAGCCCTCTCAGATAATATTGACACTAAGTGTTTGGCTAATTTGTATTTGGGTGAGTCGATATGACTGACGATGGGTCTTAAAGGATTGTTTTGTTTGTGTATTTTTGGCAATCCATACATTTTTGGAGGTTTTACACAGGCTGTTGTAAAGATTTGACGTCTAGTGACAATGTTTCAGAATATTTAGTAAGGAGGCTAGATGTTTATTTTATTACCTTGTTTGTGAGATCTTTATCGAATATTTTATAGGTATTGACATCGTTTAAGAGGAGAGGCACCTAGCTTTCGTATTCCGACGTATCCATATATAGGTTATAAGTTGGTGGACTCATTTCCGCACTAGACTCATAATTGGTCCGTTGTACGAAAAGTCCTGGCTAATTTAGCCAGCCTAGCTCCTTCCAGAAGCACAGAAGTCTCCTGGTCACTTCACAGGTTCCTCGGAGCGATCTCACTGTTCCGAGAATTTGTGCACGTTGATTAGCCACAGCCTCGCATTCCAGGACTACGTAGGTGACTAATTCAACCCACGTATCCATAACAACGGTTGTGCTCCCTTTGTCAGCTCGAAGTACTACCAAATCTTCGTCCGCCTTTAGCTCCGCGAGAGCCTTTGTTTCAGCGAAGGTAAGGTTTCTTTTTGGTGGTTTGTTTGCTCGCAGTATGCGCAAGAAGTCTTGCCATATTATATTTTCAGCCTCATCCTTTGGTATCGTATTTTTGTATATACATTTCTCTACGTAACTAACAATATCTTCGTGAGGGATTTTTCGCGGTGCCGTTGCAAAGTTAAGCCTTTATTTAATACCTCGATGGTTTGTTTATCCAAGTTTTGTTTTGACAGATTGATGACAGTGACATTTTGACTAGTATCGGGTGTATCATTTAAAGTCGCGACGTTTGACAGGGGTCTATTGGTGTTCTGTGCTAGTTTTTCAAACTTTTTTATTTGTATGACTTTGCAGTTATGGAATTTGTTGTGAGCCCGAGTGTTTATGCCTTGCCTCCAATCTGTTTACGACAATATCTCACGTAGTTCCTCCGTTTCATTTTGGATTTGAATGTTTAGTCGTTGATACTCTGTTCTGTATCCGGCGACAAGTTTAATTAACAATTTTCTACATGCTGTTTCAAAAATACTGGCGCTCCCAACTATGTCCTTTCTTGGAGCCAATCGTACACAGTTGTTGTTTTTCAGTTCGGTTTCAGCCAAACAACGTCTTGATAACCTGACTTTGAAACCAAAGAAAAGGCGTGCTTCTACGTCATCTTTGCCAACGGCCTCGATATCAAATGCTTTGAAAATCAATATAGAAAATTTACCCAACCTTACATTAACCACATCAACACCAACAACAACAAAAGTTACTACTATGTCACAATCTGCAAATAATATTGAAGAATTGCAGACTGAAGACACTAGTTTTCAATTTACTAATGCTGCGAAAACTGCTAATGCACAAAGTAATAATACTGAGAATGAGACAGTAATAGACACAAGCATGTCAAATGATGATGATGCGTGTAAAAATGCACCATCCACCGTAATGTCAACTGAATGTCGTAGTTATGAAGAAAAAAACAGTAGGTAGTGAAGATCCTTGTGTACCAAAAACAACAAATTCATTACAATGGACATGTGAATATTGCTGGGTTAAAAATAATATGAGTACTAGTAAATGTGTATGTTGTGGTGGAAAAAACCCCTAAACAAAAACGATAATAATAAAACTTCTAGGCCAGCTGAGACAAACCCCCTTAGCTTACCTATTAATCATGATCCTTTATTAACTAATAATATTACATATGTAAAGAGTTAAAAAGAAACGTGGGAATGTCCTGTTTGCCTCCTAAAAAATGAGAAGAAGAACACTAAATGTATTTGCTGTGAAGCTACAAAACTAGGTGCTGAAAAATCAGCGACATTAAATAGTAAACAAGCAGGAGTCTCAAAAAGTCAAGATAAAAACTGGGAATGCAATGTTTGTCTAGTAAGAAATAATAAACGTAACAGCCAATGCGTGTGCTGTGAAGTTGAGAAACCAGGGACTAAGAAATCAGAAATAACGTTTAATTTTTGTTTGCCTGTAACTACAAAATTTCAGTTTGGAATTAATTTAGATAACACAAACCATGACCCTACTAAAGAAATTGTAAAAAAAGTCACAGAAACAAACAACAATGAGCCCCCAGAACAATTTTAATTTGGACTACCTCCCATTAATTCAGTAGCTGACGGTTTAGGCAACAATTTAGAAGAATCTAATGAAAGTACTTCTAATAAATCTCCTCAGATAGAACAAAGGACCATAAATTTGGAAAAAGAAAGAGTTGAAGATCAAATGTTGTTTGTATTGAAGTCACCAGTACCCCTAGACACTACATATGACCTACAAACAGTAGCAGAACCAAGTCGAAAAGAAGGTTCTACCAAGTCACCAACAGCTTTGCCCAATGCTGGACAGGAGCAAAACTCTGCTAATTTGAATGTGCTATCACCGATAGTGGAAGTCATTAATGAATGTTTGAACCCAAGTACTAACACAAATAATTTATCTGCTCCTCAAAATAACACTTTACAGCAGAATGAATCAAGTAATGCTGGAACTTTAGGGCCTCTTCCGTTATTTCAGTACCAGAGAATCATTTGTTAGAGAAAACTTTGAATTCATTTCCACCTCAATCTACTTCAACTCCAATGTTTATACCTATTTGGTTCAAGTACTAATCAGAATACAATTAATATTGTTCCACGAATACGATGAATTTTAAATTTGGAAATAAGATTAATTCTACAAATCTTTTTAATTTCGCAGTTCTTCCAGGCAAATTTGAATCGCCGAAAATCGATTAGCAGGAAAACATAAATTCCGTAGTGGACACAATAAATGGGAACATTATATTGAGTGGTAATGGTACTAACACATTTCAACACAGCAACAAAGGAATGCTGTTCCTTGGTTACTAGTTACGAAGTATCTGTGTTTCTCATTAAAAACAGATAACTCTGTAAGTCAGTTTATTAGCGTCCAAAGCCAGCGTAAACCAACAGGAGGACTATTCGGAGCTCTACTACAAAAAGAAAACAGTAGTTGGCCTCCTTCTACAAATTTATTTTCTGCACCGCAAAGTCTCCCTACAAATTAACGAAATTAGGCATCGCACCCATTTACCTTAGGTAGCATGCCATTTAATACTACTCCAATTAACAACGTACCAACATTTCGTCACCAGCGTTTGGTATGCTTTCTCTTAATGCCAATAATGCATTCTGGGTTTCTACGCCAACTTTTGAAAATCAAGCAAAAGCAATAAACAGCATCAATGGTACACCAGGAGCAGCAGGAGGGCTTTTCGGACAACAATCTTAGAATTTTACAGAAAACAGCTCATTATTTGTCGAAACGTCCCATCAGATGGGACTTCAGCAGGGCTTCAATTTTTCTTCTGGTCAAAATCCTACTCCTAACGTATTCAACTTCCCTCAGGTACGGTATTGTTTCAATTAATATTATTAGTAATAAAATTATGTACATAGTCATTTTCAATTGGTGTAATTTTGAAGTTGTTCCCAACATTAAAACAATACATATAACAAATAATTTTATCTGTCTTCATGGTAAATATAATCGACGGAGAATTAAATAAGTAGATGTCGCTATGTAAAAAAAGTACAAATTCATAACAACTAAAATTATTTGATTCAAGCCTAGCGCGTACAAGTGAAAACAGGAATAAATTGTTTGAGCAAACAGTTGTTAATAAGGTAATATATAAATTGCAGTTTCAAGTATCGCTTAGTATTTTATCATAAAAATGTATCAACAATAAATTATTAGTAATATAAAAATTAAATTTTTTCTTTTTAAGATTATACTCAAGAGTAAATCTTGGTATGAATTTGCTTAAATTGGGATGTTAAGAAAATGTGAGTTTAATATTTCTATACCGCTATTTTAATAAGTATATTGTGATGAAATTTTACGTGTAAAAAAATTAATTTGAATTCATAGGTTGGGGTAAAATACCTACATTAGTCCTTTCTTGACGACTCAGGAATATATTATGTTTATACCCCTGTCCAAATATTTCGCAACTATCGTCTTTATAGTATACTAGCCGTTTCCCGTCCGCTTTGCTGGGCGAATTAAAATAGTAAATAAATAAAATTTTATGTTTTATTATTATGATTTTTTTCATATTTTTATTATTCTTTTTTTTAACTTCCCGCTAAGAAAATTGAAAATTTTCGAAAATCGAGTTTTTAACAGATGTTGACGTTTTGAAGTTCTAGGAAGCCTCCCCGAATGTTTCCGCGGTGAAGTCCGTATGTATAAATTTTCATTAAAGTAAAACAGCAATAAAAAAATGAAGGAACGTTGGAATTTAAAAAATAAATAGCCATAAACCATCTAGGAAAAATTTTGAATAATTTCGTCGATACGATCAGTGGTTTAGGCCTCAAACGAAGACCATTTTTATTATATATATATAATATATATATATAGATAGACCTACTTACGCCAGGCCAAACGACGACTCTTTTGTACCCAGTTAATTTATCGTAGCTACTATTAAACGCATATTTGTTTTTTTTTATACCTTAGTTTTATCTGTCTAAATGAGCTGCCCTACGATTCTGTAACTCACTTTTCGAACTTTTGACCGGTGGAAACCGCTGTGTGAGTTCGAAAAGTGAGTTACAGAATCGCAAGGCTGGTCCTGGCTCTTCCGGTCTTTTCACACACATCTATATATCAATAAGTGCATTTCGACCTCTATAAGGAAGACTTCGATTAGTTTTGTTCATTGTACCAAAGTGTGATTTTTTGTACGTTTCCAACCAACCTTTTAAGGCTAGCGGCCATGTCGCCGTTCCGCACCTTAGTGATGTATTAAAATGATTTTTTATAGTAGTACCATCTCGTTTTCCGGTAAAAAGGTCATAAGGCCCCCGTAGGGAACCAATTTTCTTTGACTTCTGCTCAATATTTTCTTTGTCAACGATGGTATACCCACATTTTTGCAAGCTGGTTCGTACTGATGTGGATGTTCTTTTATTTCAGTCCAAGCAGGGCCTAATACACTATTTTGCCACTTTCTCTGATTCAAAATTATTTGATTCCTGTATCCTAAATTACGTGCCCAATCATCAAGTTCAGTTTTATATCACCATGGGTCCTTGTCTACTTTTCTGATACGGATGACTCGAAATATTTCACTTATGAATTGAGAATGGTATAGGCAAGGATCACAGCCGTTTGATCTTTCCGTATATAGTCCACTTCGATCTAGACTAGGGATGAACAGTACTTTTGTCAAACCTTTTTGAACTTGAACCAAAAGCTACTTTATGAGTACACAGGCTTGATTTTCATAACGATAGTTATAACAATTCAAAATTATACGTTAAAGTTTTGATGAAACATATAGGTGATAATTTTAAAATTTCCGTTGGCTGTAGGTACAATTATTGCATATGACAAATGCATTATTAGACGAATGTATTTGCGGTGCTAAAAATAAATTAGTAGAAGGAGGCCAACTTCTGTTTTCTTTTTGTGGTTGAGCTCCGACTAGTCCGCCTGTTGGTTTAGGCTGGCTTTGGACGCTAATAAACTGACTTACAGAGTAATCTGTGTTTAATGAATTAGATCCTTTGTTGCTGTGTTGAAATGTGTTAGTATCACCACTACCACTCAATATAATGTTCCCATTTATTGTGTCCACTGCAGCATTTATGTTACCCTGCGAATCGATTTTTGGCGATTTAAATTTGTTTAGAACAACTCCGAAATTTAAAAGATTTGTTGAATTAATTTTGTTATGTCCAAATTAAAAATTCATCGTATTCGTGGAACCAATATTAATTGTATTCTGATTAGTACTTGACCAAATAGGTATAAACATTGGAGTTGAAGTAGATTGAGGTGAAAATGAATTCAAAGTTCTCTCTAACAAATGATTATCTGGTACTGAAATAACGGAAGGAGGCCCTGAAGTTCCAGCATTACTTGATTCATTCTGCTGTAAAGTGTTATTTTGAGGAGCAGATAAATTATTTGTGTTAGTACTTGGGTTCAAACATTCATTAATGACTTCCACTATCGGTGATAGCACATTCAAATTAGCAGAGTTTTGCTCCTGTCCAGCATTGGGCAAAGCTGTTGGTGACTTGGTAGAACCTTCTTTTCGACTTGGTTCTGCTACTGTTTGTAGGTCATATGTAGTGTCTAGGGGTACTGGTGACTTCAATACAAACAACATTTGATCTTCAACTCTTTCTTTTTCCAAATTTATGGTCCTTTGTTCTATCTGAGGAGATTTATTAGAAGTACTTTCATTAGATTCTTCTAAATTGTTGCCTAAACCGTCAGCTACTGAATTAATGGGAGGTAGTCCAAATTAAAATTGTTCTGGGGGCTCATTGTTGTTTGTTTCTGTGACTTTTTTTACAATTTCTTTAGTAGGGTCATGGTTTGTGTTATCTAAATTAATTCCAAACTGAAATTTTGTAGTTACAGGCAAACAAAAATTAAACGTTATTTCTGATTTCTTAGTCCCTGGTTTCTCAACTTCACAGCACACGCATTGGCTGTTACGTTTATTATTTCTTACTAGACAAACATTGCATTCCCAGTTTTTATCTTGACTTTTTGAGACTCCTGCTTGTTTACTATTTAATGTCGCTGATTTTTCAGCACCTAGTTTTGTAGCTTCACAGCAAATACATTTAGTGTTCTTCTTCTCATTTTTTAGGATGCAAACAGGACATTCCCACGTTTCTTTTAACTCTTTACATATGTAATATTTTAGTTAATAAAGGATCATGATTAATAGGTAAGCTAAGGGGGGTTGTCTCAGCTGGCCTAGAAGTTTTATTATTATCGTTTTTGTTTAGGGGTTTTTTCCACCACAACATACACATTTACTAGTACTCATATTATTTTTAACCCAGCAATATTCACATGTCCATTGTAATGAATTTGTTGTTTTTGGTACACAAGGATCTTCACTACCTACTGTTTTTTTCTTCATAACTACGACATTCAGTTGACATTACGGTGGATGGTGCATTTTTGCACGCATCATCATCATTTGTCATGGTTGTGTCTAGTACTGTCTCATTTTCAGTATTATTACTTTGTGCATTAGCAGTTTCCGCAGCATTAGTAAATTGAAAACTAGTGTTTTCAGTCTCCAATTCTTCAATATTATTTGCAGATTGTGACATAGTAGTAACTTTTGCTGTTGTTGGTGTTGATGTGGATAATGTATAGTTGGGTAAATTTTCTATATTGATTTTCAAAGCATTTAATATCGAGGCCGTTGGCAAAGATGACGTAGAAGCACGCCTTTTCTTTGGTTTCAAAGTCAGGTTATCAAGACGTTGTTTGGCTGAAACCGAACTGAAAAACAACAACTGTGTACGATTGGCTCCAAGAAAGGACATAGTTGGGAGCGCCAGTATTTTTGAAACAGCATGTAAAAAATTGTTAATTAAACTTGTCGCCGGATACAGAACAGAGTATCAACGACTAAACATTCAAATCCAAAATGAAACGGAGGAACTACGTGAGATATTGTCGGAAACAGATTGGAGGCATAAAAACTCGGGCTCACAACAAATTGTATAACTGCAAAGTCATACAAATAAAAAAGTTTGAAAAACTAGCACAGAACACCAATAGACACCTGTCAAACGTCGCGACTTTAAATGACACACCCGATACTAGTCAAAATGTCACTGTCATCAATCTGTCAAAACAAAACTTGGATAAACAAATCATCGAGGTATTATATTAAGGCTTAAATTTTGCAACGGCACCGCAAAAAATACCTCACGAAGATATTGTTAGTTACGAGAGAAATGTATATACAAAAATACGATACCAAAGGATGAGGCTGAAAATATAATATGGCAAGACTTCTTGCGCATACTGCGAGCAAACAAACCACCAAAAAGAAACCTTACCTTCGCTGAAACAAAGGCTCTCGCGGAGCTAAAGGCGAACGAAGATTTGTTAGTACTCCGAGCTGACAAAGGGAGCACAACCGTTGTTATGGATACGTGGGTTGAATTATTCACCTACGTAGTCCTGGAATGCGAGGCTGTGGCTAATCAACGTGCAGAAATCCTCGGAACAGTGAGATCGCCCCGTGAAGCCTGTGAACTGCCCAGGAGACTTCTGTGCTTCTGGATTGAGCTAGGCTGGCTAAATTAGCCAGGACTTTACGTACAACGGACCAATTATGAGTCTAGTGCGGAAATGAGTCCACCAACTTATAACCTATATATGGATACGTCGGAATACGAAAGCAAGATGGCTCTCCTCTTAAACGATGTCAATACCTATAAAAAACTCGATAAAGATCCCACAAACAAGGTAATAAAACAAACATCTAGCCTCCTTACTAAATATTCTAAAACACTGTCACTAGACGTCAAATCTTTAACAGCAGCCTGTCAAACCTCCAAAAATGTATTGATTGCCAAAAATACACAAACACAACAATCCCTTTAGACCCATAGTCAGTCAAATTAGCCAAACACTTAGTGTCAATATTATCCCCTTTCAGGGGGCACAACGAAATATTGGTGACAGCTCCACGAGTAAAAAAGACCGAATGGATTACCAATGAAATCTTAGACTTGATGGAAAAAAGACGTGAAAACAAAAGAGATAAAGAAAAATACGATGCGCTAAAGATCCTCATACGAAAAAAGATAAGACAGGCAAAGGAATCTTAGTATGGGGAGTTATGTTCAGAAATTGAGGAGTTACATAGGAAGTATGACAGCTTTGGTATGCATAAGAAGATAAAAGAACTAATAACACCTAATCATCAAGGACACAGCGAAATGACACTTCTTAAAAACGATGGCAAATATACAACCCGCACTGATGACATGCTTAACACTTGGGAAGACTATATTAGTGAACTTTTCTGTGACTCACTACCAGAAATTATTAACCTGTTGTGATGTTAGTCCATCTATTACAAAGCGTGAAATCTACTATGCCATAACAAAAGCAAAAACTCGGAAAGCTGTCGGAGCTGATAATATACCAACAGAGATTATAAAGGAAATTGAGGAATGTAACTTAGATTATATCACAACCATATTTAATGGTATATACGACTCAGGAACCATTCCTTCTGACTGGCTTAAGTCAACATTTATCACTATTCCGAAAACCAAGAATCCCAAAAAATGCAACGACTATCGGACTATCTCACTTATGAGCCATGTTTTGAAACTCTTTCTGAAAGTGATACATAATAGGATATACTCTAAATGTGAATCAACACTATCCTGCACCCAATTTGTCTTTCGAAGCGGTTTAGGAACGAGAGACGCTCTCTTTGGCTATCAAGTGTTGATACAGAGATGCTTGGACATGAACAGGGATCTTTTCGTCTATTTTGACGATTATGAGAAGGCTTATGATAATGTACGACATGGTAAAATGATGGAAATACTCCAGAGAATTGGCTTAGATTATAAAGACTGCTGTTTCATTAAAAACCTATATTGGAAGCAAAGTGCTAATATAATAATAAACAGCAAACATTCTTCATATATCGAGATTCAGAGAGGTGTGCGTCAAGGTTGCATTTTATCACCTTTGCTATTTAACTTGTACGCCGATGCAATATTTTCAGAAGCCCTATAATTGTCAACATGGCATAGCAATTAATGGCAAACTGCTGAATAACTTGAGATACGCTGATGAGACGATCTTAATCGCAGAGAGTCTCGATGGTCTACAGAATTTAGTCAATTCAGTTGCCGCCGTGAGTTCTGAATTTGGTATTAGCATCAATGCGAAAAAGTCAAAATACATGACAATAAGCCGAACACCGGAGCTTTTCACGCAACATATATACCTCAACAATCATACCTTGGAACGTGTCTAGAAAATACGATATCTAGGCACAGTGATTGATGAAAAGGGTGACCATAGCATCGAAATCCGCTGCAGAATTGAACAAGATCGGAAGCTCGCCTTTTCAAAACTAAAAAAAGTACTTTGTGACAAGCGCCTAAATTTACAACTTGCATTGCGCGATGTTACGTTTTCTCTGTGCTGCTCTACGGCGTAGAGTCTTGGACGCTGACAGAGACTATGTCCAAAAAACTGGAAGCGTTTGAGATCTGGGTTTATCGACGTAGCCTTCAAATATCTTGGACAGACCGCGTACGAAATACAACCGTGCTGGACAGAATGCAGAAGAACAAAGAAGTGCTTATGACGGTAAAGAAAAGGAAACTTGAGTATTTCGGACACGTTTTACGTAACTCCAAAAAATATGAGCTCCTCCAAGTAATCATACAAGGCAAAGTGGCAGGTAGAAGGAGACCTGGCCGCAGACGCACGTCCTGGTTGAAAAACTTAAGACAATGGTTTGGTCAAAGCACCAAGTCATTGTTTAGAAGCGCAGCATCCAAAATTAAAATAGCCATGATGATCGCCAACCTTCGCAAGGAATTGGCACTATAAGAAGAAGAAGGGGGCACACTGTGCAGTGCTTATATTAAGGACTCTTACCACGTTATGGAAACATTGAGAGATCTCAAATTACTTCACAATGAAACCATGGTGAGTTTTGACATTGAGTCACTATTTACAAACTTACCACTAAATGACTGCCTATATAAAATTGCAAAAAGACTTAGGGAACAACAGAACATGTTACAAGATTATGTAGATATTGTAAAGCACTGTCTCACATCAGGATAATTAATGTGGAAATATGAGTTCTATGTGCAGGTTGATGGAGTAGCCATGGGTTCTCCGGTGTCACCTATAGTCGCTGACATCTTCATGGAGGACTTTGAGGAGAGAGCTCTGGCTAATGCCTCGGTTAAACCTCGACTGTACAAGAGATAATATGTCAATGACACGTTTGTAGTACTTCCCAATGACAAAATATCTGCATTTCTAGCACATTTAATTTCAATACACAATAACATTAAATTTACTGTTGAACAAGAGAACAACCAAAGCAGTTGGCACACTTGGTCACACAATACACAGAAAGGCAACCCACACAGATAGGTACCTCAATGGTGAATCCCACCACCACCCTTCACACTGCTTTCTGTCGGAAAATGTTTGTTTAAGAGAGCCCAACGTCTTTGTGATGCTGCCCACCTCGAGGAGGAACTACAGCATGTCAAACAGGTGCTTCACCGAGACAAGCTGCGCATCCCCCAGCTGCATCACAGAAATAAAAACAAGACATAAACAGTTCCCCGCCAGCCAGCCTACCTGCCATATGTAAAGGGAGTTACAGATAGAATTAGCCGGATCCTAAAACGCCTCTATTAATACAATTTTCAAGCCGCACAAGAAGACTCAGCAATTCCTAAGACCAATCAAAAGTAACACCCCGTTGCAAGATGCAAGTTACATATACAAACTGTATTCCGACTGTGGCCTGTCTTACATATGGAAAACAAAACGCAATATGTCCAGCAGACTGCTGACGAGCTTGCGAGAAGAGGCTCCGGAATGATGCCTACTACTAATGATACCGATGATGGTCCGTATCCGCTCCTCCCATTGCCCTTGCTGGTGCGAACCTGGATTCGCCAGAGATCCGCTGAACTCCAGCATCAACGCGTAGTGCGGTCTGCAAACAGTCCAAAATGAACCCGCAACTGACAAAGCGACTACTTAGCTTAAATAGAACCAACCTTAAAACAATGAAAGGGACAATAACGGGTCATTGTCTCCTAAATAAACATCTTTTTGTCCTAGGCACAACAGACAGCCCCTTGCGCAGAGGCTGTTTCAGCGCAGAGGAAACAGTTACCCACGTAGTCCTGGAATGGGAGGCTGTGGCTAATCAACGTGCAAAAATCCTCGGAACAGTGAGGTCGCTCCGGGAAGCCTGTGAAGTGCCTAGGAGACTTCTGTGCTTCTGGAAGGAGCTAGGCTGGCTAAATTAGCCAGGACTTTAACGCACAACGGACCAATCAGGAGTCTAATTGCGGAAAAAAGAGTCCTACAACCCTATGTCCAGCAGACTCAAAGAACACATTGCGGACATAAGACATAGGCGACACACAAAATCAGATAGGCCTAATCACTACATACGCTTTGACCAACCGGAACTACTTGTGAAAGAAAAAAGATCCTTCCCAAGATTGGTACGAAATTGAAATTTGAAATCAAAAGACACCTCAATTTCAATAAAGAAGACGGCTTAAAATTGTCAAAC